TTATCCATTTCTGCCTTTATTCATCTGATGTGATTCAAAAGGTCTTAATCCATAATGTCAACCACTTTTGTTTATTTCTGTTTTTCCCATCTCTTAGAGACACTCTCTCTCTGAGGAAGAATTTTTGGTATGTGCATTTTGTTTATGCTACACATGCCAAATAGATCTCCCAAGATGAAACTCTGAGCTCATTTGGAAGTAATTTTTGGTAGCACATGAATCAGAACTCTTATTTTCTTCTCAGCACTACTGGTATTTTATTGCTTCCATCTATAGTCCAATATGCTTTTAGCGCTAAGAACCCTGAGGCCAAACACACAAAGCACTAAGAAAATGGGAACTTCAGGCGATTACAATTTTGTCTCTCTTTCAGGGTTCTTCCTTCCCCTGGGAGAGTGAAATCACTTCAAGCTCACTATGAAACAGGAACATGGTGAACACAAGTGATTGACTGAAGTTGGTGATGTTGATTTAGGAGTCTTCAGTTTACAGATCAGGTGTAAACTCTTAAACCTGCTTGTCAAAGTCTGCTTGTCAAACTCCTATGGAGTTTTCCAGACCCTGCCCTAATGTCAAATTCTCTATGAAGGCTTTCTGGACAGTGTAGGCAGAATTAGGCAGTTCTTCCTTCATGCTAATATCATAACTTAATGTATTACTATGTATGTATTACTTATGTATTACACTTACTTATTCAATAATATTGCATTTATTTTACTTTCTCCACTCATGGATAGAGATTATCAATGATAGTCTCTTCCTTTTATCTCTGGACCAGACCATTATCAAAATCAAGTTGTTTCTTATTAAGTAATTGCTGGAAAGACCAGAGAATGGCTACTAATAATCTACATCTGCTTAGCAAAGGTTACAATGTTTTGCTGCATATTGGCAAGAAGATTACGGCAGGAATATCATTCATATATTACAGATCAGGAAACCAATGCCCAGAGAGGTTATATGCTCAAGCCAAGTTAAATACAGCTAATAAGTTGTACACCCAGTTCTCTTGCAGTATGTTGTTAAAATTTTGTAGATGGAAGTGGTAGCAGTACTGTGTGTAAGGCACAAATGGCAACAGCTGGCCAAGACTACATTAGTAAGTATTTGATATTAATTGACACATTGTAAGATTTGGTTACTTGTTTTGAAACTCAAGTCTAAACAGATCAAGAAGTTTAATGCACATGAAAGTAGACATAATGATGTCAGATTATTTACACAGAGAAAGATGAATGAGAAATTTCTCCCTTATTAAGCTAAATATGCAGTGAAGATACCACCCCCCAAAGAAAAAGATAATGGATATGACTGCCATTTTTGAAATTCTGACCATGACTCAGAATACTAAAATGGAATAAAATTCTCAGAGATCAGTACTCAAAGCCTTTCATTTTACAAAGACAAAAAATAAATAAAACAAGGACATCAAAAAATGCATAACTAGAAAGGGTAAATGACTTACCTAAAGTCACATATTTTGCCTTGCAGAAGGACACAGAATTGGTTTATTTAAAAAAAACACATTATTGACAAAGGATTCATTAGCAGTGCTCCTCAAGGCCCTGCTTGGTGTGACAGATGTCAGCTGGTCCGCTGAACTCCTTCCAGATCTGTACTCACAGGGCAAAAGCTTGAAAATCAGAGGACTCTTTCAGGTAGGGACACTTGGGAAGGTGGATAGAAAGTTGAATGGATGGAAGGACAGATGGATACATGAGAGTCACCAAATAAAAGACTACTGAATATCATAGTGAAAGAACTTATGAAAACCAGTGATGATTAGCACATTCATTATTTTTAATAATTTCAGAGCACTCAGCAAAGAAAGCCCCTTATAATGTAAAGTTTATCAGGGACTTTAGTGAGAACATTTAACTTGAGTCTAGTTAATGTACTGGCTGATATAGTGGCTACTGAGCACAAGTAATGTGGCTAGTCCAATTTGAGATGGGCTGGAACTGTAAAACTGAAATATGAAGACTTAACATGGTTTACAAAACACTGTACATCCAGGTGTGGTGGCGCAGGCCTATAATACCAGTGGCTTAGAAGACTGAGGCAGGAGATGCAATCTCAGGGCTGGGGATTTGGCTCAGTGGTTAAACACCCTGGGTTCAATCCCTGGTAACAAAGGGGGAAAAAACCCACAAAGAACAAAAAACAAAGGGAAAAAAACCCCTCTGTATAATATCTCACTAATTTTTATGTTGATTACATGTTACATGTTGAAATAAAATATATGATTCACAAAAAAAAACACATTATGATTAAAAAGTAACACAAGAATACTTCTCACCAAGCATCTGGCTAATATGGCTAGACATAGACTATAATACAGGAATTGTCTTTATAAAAATGCAATTCCCCTTCTCGGACTATGCCCCAAAGACCTAAAAAGAGCATACTATAGGGATACTGCTATATCAATGTTCATAGCAGCACAATTCACAATAGCTAGAATGTGGAACCAACCTAGATGCCTGTCAATAGATGAATGGGATAAAAAAATGTGGCATTTGTACACATTGGAATATTACTCAGCACTAAAAAATAACAAAATCATGGCATTTGCAGGGAAATGGATGGCATTAGAGCAGATTATGCTAAGTGAAGTAGCCAATCCCTAAAAAACAAATGCTGAATGTCTTCTTTGATATAAGGAGGGCGACTCAAAACAGAGCAGAGAGGAAGAGCATGAGAAGAAGATTACCATTAAACAGGGACAAGAGGTGGGAGGGAATGGGAGAGAGAAGGGGAACTGCATGAAAATGGAAGGAGACCCTCATTGTTATACAAAATTACATATAAGAGGAAGTGAGGGGAAAGGGGAAAAAAAGAGAAATGAATTATAGTAGATGGGGTAGAGAGAGAAGATGGGAGGGGAGGGGAGGGGAGGGGGATAGGAAGGGGATAGGAAGTGGATAGGAAAGGCAGCAGAATACAACTGACACTAGTATGGCAGTATGTACAAACTTGGATGTGTAACCAATGTGATCCTGCAATCTGTACACGTGGTAAAAATAAGAATTCAATAACCCACTTGAATCAAATGTATGAAATATGATATGTCAAAAGCATTGTAATGTTTTGAGCAACCAATAAAAAAATGCGGCAATGTGGGAAAAATAAACCATTGACTATCCTGTTTCTGCTTATTGGGGAAATGAGGAGGCACATAATGTGACAGGCAGTGTTTTAGGACTTGGTCCTTATTAAAACAAGATGTTTTTCAGTGGAGTTTTATAATATTAATTTTATACTTTTTTCTCCATTTACCCACATGCATTGTTTTGTTAAAAAATAGTTTGTTTTATCATTTAAATGTGCCAAATAAGTATATATTTTTGGTTCTTACTCCTTTTTAACATTAAGCATTTCCTTATTATTTGTGGAGGATGCTTTCTGAGATATTCTGCGTAGACCTGAAACCACAGATGATACCAAATTACATCTATAGATCTATATGCATGATACATATATGTATCAAAACACATATGTATCTATACATACATATATTTAAACATATACTTAAGTAACTGTTATAAAGTTCAATTTATAAATTAGGCACAGTAACAAATTAGCTATAACTAATAATAAAATAAAACAGTTATAACAATAAGCTATAATAAAAGTTATTTAAAACATGAGTTTTTTAACTTCTTGAATTTTCCACTTGATATTATGACCAGAGTTGACCATGAATAACTGAAACTATGGAAAGTGAAAACACAAGTAAGGGAAGACTAGTGTACTGTTTCTTTCCTTATGGAATATAATCCAGGTAGATAGATGTTTGTGTACTTGTATCATATTGATAGCTTTTAAATTTTGAAAATGATTTGACTACTACTGTCTCTTAGCCCTCTTATTGCTAAGTACAACACGTTATACTAATTATTGGTCAGCTAAAAAGATAAATATGTATCTCTGTTAAGGGGCAAAGACCCAAATCAGCTAACATTCTCAGCAAAAATGAAAGCCAATGATAATATTTATGAAAGTTTTTGGTGTAGCTTGTAGCCTCTGTTACCAAAGTTGCTCATATAACTGTTGGCATGTGCCCTGGTTTGTATTCTTGGGTTAGTATATGAAAACAATTTGGTTTCTATAAGTACATTAACATCTCACAGACTGTATAATTCACACCAAAATTAAGTGATGTCATAGGGCATCACTGACTATGAGAGGGAGCCTTATTTAACAAACAACTGCTTTGGAAGAGAAACATACCTCAAACTGCAAAAATCTGTTTGCTAACTGATCTTCCCATTGGGTATAATCTCTAGAGTTCTTTCAAATATATGGACCATTACCTGTTTGATATCAATTATTGTGTATATCTTTCTGTTTCTATCATAATCAATCTATGCTGCATTTTCTACTTCTTTATTGAATTCTGAGGAGATGAATTAACAAAGCATTTATGTAGCAAAGCCTTTTTTTTCCTTCTAGGATAACTTTCACCCTAACTGTTCATTCCCAATTAATGGTAATATTACTATTATTTCCAATAGTTGCAGTTTAAAACAAAAGCCCACATTGTGAAAGTAACTTTAGGTATTCAAGGTCATTTACATTGTCCAATTTAAAATCACAGTTTCTCATTTAGGCTGTAGAAGAAACTTGTTCATAAATCATAGCATTTTAATGTATTAAGTAAAAGATGATTTTTAGGTATTAATTTTTAAGCTAAGTAAAAGTAGAATACTGTGCTATATAAAAATCAAGGTCATTTAATTAGCAATTCATTTATTCCCAATAAAACTTTGGTAGAAAACACCCCTGTATACCTAAAGTTGAAGATAATTCAGTTAGGTCCCCATTATACTTTAAGCCAGTCAACAATTTTTATCCTTGTCATAGGTTTAAAATATCTGTCAATTCCTATTAAAGGATTATAACATGAAATCAATATAGTCAATAGGTATATAAAATGCCAATAGAAATTTTTAAAAAAAAGCAACAGGATTTGCAATGCTTTCAGATATATTACTCACCAGAAACAGAGTTCGGAAGTTGCTGAGGTCACCAAAAAAGTCCTCTATGGTTACTGTCTTAGAGTCAAAAATGAAGTACTCTCCAAGATTCTCATACAGCTTCACCATGTTATTGTGCATTGTGGACAGTTTTTCATACTGGTCTCTCGCACTCTTTGTAAAGCTGTAGCTTTGTGTTAAGGAACATGATCCAATAAGACTTACTTCAGAGGCTATCACTTAATAGAGATTGAATTAAATAATCACTCCTGTAAACATATTTGCACTTCACAAATACTTGTATATTCATTTGCTAGGACTGCTATTATAAAATACCACAGTCTGGGTGGCTAAACAATATATATTTATTTTCTCATAGATCCCGAAGCTAGAATTGTGAGAGGTTCTTATAAAGTCTCTCTCCTTAGCTCTCAGATGGCTACCTTCTTGCTGTGTTCTCATATGGTTGTCCCCCTGTGTGGTCTGTATTGTAATCTCTTCTTTCTTCAGGGACACCAATCATATTAGATTAGGGCACACCCTAATTAATTTCCTTTAACTTATTTATTTATTTAAAGGCCCTGTCTCCAAATACAGTCACATTCTGAGGTACTGGATGGTTAGATCATCAACATATAAATTAGTCTCCAGCAAGTTGCATACAGAATCAATCAGTAAAATATTTGTTAGAGTCATATTGACTAGTAAGCTTAAATTTTTTTAAAACAAGGAGACTATTTAATATATAACCATGTTGGATATGTCTGCAAGATCATGTTTGCTAAATGAAAGCACATAGGTAGAAAATAACTTCATATATATTTATGAGTAACGCAATGATAAAGGAATAGCAACAAAAATTTAGAGAAAAAGAAATATATAAAATTTTCTTTTACCCCAAATACAAATTGCAGTAAAAATTTCTTTTATAATATACATAGTACACAGAAATACAGAGGCTATAGTGAATTCTACATATGTTATATTTGTGTGCATATGTGTATGTATATGTATAACACACACATATATCAAGTACACACACACACACACACACACACCAACTATCCATACTGCTTAAGGAGAGGAAGCAGAGGGAGGGAGAAGAAGGAAGAAAGTGATCAGATTCAGTATACACTATCCTGAAAATATGGTACTTTGCTATTTGATAAAACAGCAGAATTAGGAATGTCATTTATACCTTCCCTTCTTGGTTCTTCCCTGAAGCAGGTGGAAAAAAATTCTCTGACAATGCCTCTGAAGCAGGTCATAAGACCCTTAATCCTGAACTGTCCATCCCATACACAGAGGAAAAAATTGCCTTTATCTCTAGACATACACAGCTCAGAGAAGAATCTATAAAAATATGCCTTGATAAGTCTCCCTTTATCCAATTTTAATTCCCTATATCCAGTGTTCAACAAATGTAAGCACAGATACTTGCTGGTGGCACATGCCTGTAATCCCAATGACTTATGAGGCTGAGGCAGGAAGATTACAAATTTGAGGCCAGCCTCAGCAAATTAGTGAAATTCATAGGTATAAAATATCTGATAAGTCCTGTTAAAGGATTATAACATGAAATCAATATAGTTGATAGGTATATAAATGCCAATAGAAGTTTAAAAAGAAAACCAACAGGATTTGCAATGCTTTCAGAACTATTACTCACCAGAAACAGAGTTCAGAAGTTGCTGAGATCAACAAAAATGGTTACTGTCTTAGAGTCAAAATGAAGTACTCTCCAAGATTCTCATACAACTTAGCAAGTTAGTGATTGTCTCAAAATAAAAAAAAAATAATGAGAAGGACTGGGGAGGTACTTAGTTATAAAGAGCCCCTGGGTTCAATCCCTTAGGACTATGAACAAAACAAACACAACAAAAAGAATGTTTCAGAGAAATTTAAATACACTAAACATGAAAAATAAAGAGAACCCAGTCAATTTTTTAAATAAGAGTAAGTTGGGTGTAGTGGTGCATGCCTATAATCCCAGCTACATTGGAGGCTTAGGAAGGAGGATTACAAATTTGAGGCCAGTCTCAGCAATGTACAAAGTCCCACAGCAACTTAGCCCTGTCCCCAAACAAAAATAAAAAGGATTGTGGATGTAGATCACTGATGAAGTACCTCTGGGTTCAATCTTTAGCACCAAAATAAAATTTAACAGACTTGGAATTGTAGAAAGAGGATAATAACACTGTCTGTGGTGTACTAGTTTAAGATGTACTCCAGTGGTATTAATATTTTGTGATAGAATTTTTTATCGGGAACTGATAATTGTGATATTTGATTTTATAGGGTTTTCTGAATTCTTCAGTGTTTTATTATAACCTGGGGCCAAATTTATTTTCTATGGGAACACAGCTCTAGTTTTACAATGGTAGTCGATGGGGAAATTAGACCATTTCTGGAAAATTACTTTGCAGCTGACACTTATGGAATACACTATGATTTTTAAAATGAGATGCCTCCTTCCTATGTTCTTTTTTATTCTATTTAACTATTAGCATTCACATTAGCAATACAACAACCCCTTTCAGGCCAATAGGTGACATTAAATATTTCAACTCTTTAGTCCATTTTGATATTAATAGACCTGAAAGAATAACATTTTTGACATACTCTACTTTCTTTTTATACACAAAAGGGAACATAATGCTTACATACATTCTGATTTTCCCTTTTGCACTATTACCATATACTGTATGTTAAACATACTGTTTAAGTGTCGCAGAACTGAGACAATACACTTCATATCTTAGCACAGAATTAAAGGGGTATTTCTAGACTTTCTTCCATTAAAAAAAATTCAGACTCATGCCAGGGACTTGCTAGGCAGAAACGCTCTACAAAGGTCACTTACTTACAATCTATTTGCAATGCAAATACTAAATTGTTTATATATTTCAGAAAGCTCAACATCTACAAAACACAGAGAAAAAGAAATAGATAACAAAAAAGGCAAGAATTTTATGTTCCCCATTTATCCTAACACAATTTTTCACTGGCTAAAACATGTTCATGTAGTGATATACAATTTCATAAATTTGTTTTTATAGAACAAAAATTGATTTCGGAAATTCTGTCTGTGCACTAAAGTGAGAAAATTTGAAAAATTCTGGGAATGGCTTATCTTTGAAATAACAAATGGAAAGTAGCCCAGTCTTTAAGTCCTTCACTTACCTTCAAAGTGATTACTTTGTAAAAGGGATATATGGCATAAGTCAGCACTGAAATCTTTCAGAATTTCAACCATGTCACCAAATCTTACATGGGATGGCACATAAAAAAAGAACTAGATGATGTCATTCTTTTTCATACATTTATTTCCTTTAGGGAATTTTTATTTTTTGAGCAGCCACTAAATGTAAGATATTGACTGGCACTATACTAAACATTGTGGTTCCCACAATGATCATTAAAGTCAATCTCTACCCTGAATAAATTTATATTATAATATTACAAATAATTCTACCATCATTAATTTGTATTTATATAGAACTTTGTCATTTATAATATAATTATCTTGTATTATGCTCCAGATTCTTCAAAACAACCTTTTCAAAAAGGCATAGAAATGAGATTGCAAATTTTAGAGTTTTAGAAAACGGATAAGAGGCACTCAACCTTACAGAGTTAGAATACAGATATCATGATAGTCCCTGGCATGATACTTATCTTTTCATACGGTAGATGTGAATTATTTACAATGACAATGAACTTCGTTTAACTTTGTTTTAATGCTATATATGTAATAGTAAATATATCTGTAGAATGATGGTCAGCTTAAGTTAAACTTGCATCCTTAGACCTAGATGTTGCTCAGTAGATATGTTAGCAGATTTTTTTTTTTTTTGAGAGAGAGAGAGAGAGAGAGAGAGAGAGAGAGAGAGAGAGAGAGAGAGAGAATTTTTTAATATTTATTTTTTAGTTTTTGGTGGACACAACATCTTTATTTTATTTTTATGTGGTGCTGAGGCTTGAACCCAGTGCCCCACGCATGCCAGGTGAGCGCATTAGCACTTGAGCCACATCCCCAGCCCTGTTAGCAGATTTAATAGTTAATTTTATGTCAACTTCACTGGGTTAAGAGATGCCACCACAACCACAACTGGTAAAAATTATTCTAGGTATGTTTGGGAGTGTTTCTGGAGGATATTTGTATTTGAATCAGTAGACTTGAGTAAAGAAAATCACCCACACCAATTTGGGTAGGCATTATCTAACCCTATTTATAATATAAAAGGATATATCTTTAACTAGACAGTGTCCATGGAGAAGAAAAAGCTGTTTCATAAGCTGAGATTTGAAATAGGCTATTGTTACTCCTTACTTGGGATTATTTAAGATAGAATGTAACCAAAAATTTAGAAAATATATTATAGACTACTGGGATTGACTTGATTAGGACAGGCATCTGGCCCTTAGTTATGTTTTAAGAACACTGATCGGGAAGCCTGTGAAATATTTAGAGTGGAATGGGAAGGCCAGGTGTGTAGGTACCATATAACTATTGCTGGCTAAAACTTATGCTGGCACAGTTCTTTGAGAAACTACTGAAGAGAATGCTATGAACATCAATGAAAAGGTCATTTACTCTTATACTCAGATTTCTTGGCCTTGGTGCCTTATAAGAGGGACAACAGTTAGAAGAGAATCAAAGAATAGTGCATTTGGGGGAGAATGATTCAATATCTTGGGATTGAAACACATACAGTCTTCCATCTATGTAAGAAACCTTGGAAGTCCTTGAAATATTTAGAAAGATGAATGCTGAAAAAACATTATTTAGAAAGTTTATTAGCTCTCTAAGAAGAGGGTAATTCATAGCAATTTATATCCTGAAATAAATATAAGCTTAAGGTAGTAAAATGGGGATACATCAATATGTATAAACTGATCAAATGTGAGGGGGGGAAAAAGATAAGTTCTATAAAGCTAAATGTTTCTGATTTTTTAAGCATGAAAGTTATTCACGATGACTATGAACTAAAATCTTCTAACAGAAGTATCTTTTGCAGGTTTATAAACTAAAATATGTGCAGCATTTTAAAACATTAATAGGTAAAATGCTAACCTTTCAAAAGTATTGTTAATTTGAAACTAATTCATGATTTTGAAAAGTTAATTTATAAAACATATCCCAATACTCACAAGTCATTTTTATAATAAATTATGGAAAATAA